AAGCCCCTGTATCAGAATCCTCATCCACAGATTCAGAGGACTCGGGCTCTGGCAATTGTACCGGAGTGGTCTTCACCTGACTGGTTGGATCTGTTGACGATGGAATAGGGGGACTGGGAGAACGATATTGATCCGGTCGATGTTGAGGAGGGTCATCAGATGGATGATCTGGTGGACGGGAGAGAGATGCCGAAGGCCTCGATCTATAGGGTAACTGTGATCTGTGGGTAGAGTAACGATCCCAATCACAGTAACCTGCTGGAGTCAACCACGGCATGGATGCAGTTGGCGGTGATCCCAGGAGAGAGGAGGAGGTGGGGGGGCAGGAAGACTCGTGGGGATCTACTCCTAGAGCGGGAGCGTCTGGGAGACAGTGTAGGATCTCGTCTGTGTGCGCGGCCCCTATTAGCCCGATCATCGATATCGAAGGGCCGATCCTCAGTGAACAGATGGGGAGGATGGCATTGAGTGCTTTTAGGATCTGTCGACGCGGAGCCGCATCGATATCGGCATGGCACTACGAGACCATCGATGTCGATGACTGAGCAGAGAGAGAGCGATCCATGCCCAGGGGACAACTGAGGATCTCAACATTATCGATGTTGGAGAAAGGACACATATCGACCAGAGTGTCATGGTCTAGCTGGTGTATGGGAGAATCCAGTAGCTGGATGGTCAGTATAGGTGGAGTGATGGGAGCCTCTGCTGCCGATAATGCCATTGGAGCGGGGGGCACGTTACGGGCATTACCCGGTGCAGTACCCGCTACATTCCCAGACTTCGCCGCCTTTAGGGCCTTAGAGGAGCCCTTTTTGGCCGACTTGTGCTCTTTACCCGTCTTCTGTTTCCTTTTCACGGGCATTGATGCCGAAGACTGTGCCGTCGGTGCTGAACGCTTCGATGTCGACTGAACGATGTTGGACAAGGGCTTCGAAACCGGAGCCGTCGATGTTGATGGTCTTACTGGCCCACTGAAACGGGGTTTAGCGCTGACTCTAGTAACGCTACTTGGAGTTGCGCCGCTCAGTTTTTTCTAGTTTGATTGGAAAACTTGGCGCAGTGTCGACAGGACGCTGGTCGGTGTGTTTCGCCAAGACAAAAAATGCAGGGGGTGTGGCCGTCAGGTGGAGCGAGCTTACTGCCACAATCCCTGCAACGCTTGAAAAAGCCCCACTTCTTCTTCATAAAATAAGCAAAACGGAGAAGAAGAAGAGGTGTGGGGGGGGAGCCTGAAGGCCAGAGTGAGGTAAACGAACCCCCCCCCCCGAAACTAAACAAAATTCTTTTTTTTTTGAAGAAAAAGAACAAAGTTAGAAGCAAAAAATAAAGAAAAACTGAGGAGAAAACCGAAGAGCTCTGAGGAGAAAAAAAGTTACCGATCAGACTGACGAAAGGAAGGTGCTTCCAGTGCGGCGGAAAGAAAGGAACTGGCAGGATGTCCGTGTCCACCCCTCTGGGCATGCGTGGTGGGGTTCCCGCGCATGCCCGAGGTCTGGGTGCGAAAATTCGTTGAGCTTGCTACAATGCCGATCAATCCAGCGGATGCACACTGTATCCCATGGGTGTGAAGCACAGAGACCACATCGAAGATCCCATGTTCAGAAATGTCTTCACACATGCACATCATACGTTAGTGAAACCACAGTGCAGGAGGGCCAAGAGCAGTGGCCCCTTCCATACCACCAGGGTGCCGTTTTGAAATCGGTTCGCTAAGCCATCAGCTTAGAACGTAACTCTATATTAGATTCATCGAGACCTCATTTCTACAGAGGTATCCCAGAGACTGCAGAGGTACCTCGAAAGAGTTACTTGACCTGGAGCTGAAGAGTTGGGTCAAGAAGAGCTTCTGTACTTGAGTTAAGAGATAAGAAGTGGGAGAGAGTAGGAGGGCTTAAAAAGAAGTCGCTACTTTCTACCAAACTATGACACTGTGTGTAGTCATTACAACAGAAACAAAGAATGCTTGGAAATGAGGAAGAGCAAGCTCCAAGGCCTCGGGGATCTCAGCTAATCATCCAAAGAAGGAAGCATATTGTGGTAAACAAAAAATCTACGATGCATAAACTTAGCATTGGGTGTTGAATACTGTGTTGAATCCTATCCATGAAATACTAGCCAAAGGGTCAGCAGGTGGGGCTGCTTCTCTCGAGCATCTACCAGCTTTTGTTTAGGCTACACAGCTTTTATTTTGCGCTGGTCTCTCTCTCTTTTTCCTCCCGCAAGCGAACCAAATGGCTCTGCAAGATGATTCAGCAGTTAACAGTGCAGTTGAGGTGCTGTTTTCTTCCTTGGCCATTTGCCTGTTAAAAACTACTCGTCTGTGGACAGGAGGGAAGTTAAAGATTTTCTCCGTGCATAAATGCTGCCTGCCACGGTTTGTACCTTCGCAAGCAGTCTGTGAGGGTGGTGGTTCCTGACATGTGGCTCTCCCCGTTCACGACGCTACCATCGCTGCCTGGGCTCAGAGGCCAAAACGGGGTAGAGGAACCTGGCAAGTCCAAACTGATGTCCCAGAACGGGTCTATCGTCGTGGAAACACCGCTAGGAAGAAAACAGAAAGCCGAGGTTATCCACTAATCGACAAGGCAACTGATCTGACTTAAAGGAATATGTGAGGGATTCTGTTCTGATGTACGTCATGTAATCTTACCAGAGGAACTTGCTTTTGCAAGACAACTCCACTAGGTGAAAAGTGGGAAGGAAAAATCTCCTGGTAGTGACTTTTTCCATCTCGTGAAAAACAAATGTGGGGAACACCCCTTCTTTTACACTGTGTTTACTTGGGAAAAAAGCTGGTACTTCCCTCTCTAGAGAGTGCCAAGACTACAGAAAGCACTTCAGTCAGGACAGCTATATTTAGCAAGCCCAGTTCAGAACTTATGGGAAACTACAGCAATCGCATGCACATCAGGTGTGAATCTGCCTGACGTTTTCCAGTTGCACAGCATCCTTCAGAGTTCTGGGAACAAATATATTTCTAGCCTGCACAAAGAACGGGAATGGTCTGCATTTATTTATGTATTTATTTCTGAAGACAGGGGCTACCCATGCTCTATGGGAGAAGTGAAGTTGATGTTCCACTTGTTCTTTCGCTGTCAGGTTTATAGGGATAAGCATATTGCCCCCCCCCCCTTAGATAGACCAGCACTTGATGCGGATAGTGCTTATCTAGAGAGACTTTTGATAGCAGCTCTCCAGACAAATAGCAAAATTCTGCTTGCAACTGGTAAAATTTCACAATAAGAAGCCGATCAAGTAGAATCCTCATTTACCTTTTGCCTGACTCATAAGTAGTTTAGTTTTAAACATCTCATAATTATTTTGATATAATGGACTGTTAAACTTTTCTCCTTTTAACATTTTAATGATTTTGAGGTTATATGTTTATTTTTAGAGCTGAAAGCTAATCTGCTTGTATTTAGCAAACATGTATTATTTTGATAAATGGTCTTTGACTGCAAATAAACATAATTCATTCATATGTATTTATTTCCTAATTTATACCCCACCTTTCTCCCCAGTGGGAACCCAAAGCGGCTTACGCTTTTCTCCTCTCCTCCATTTTATCCTCACAGCAACCCTGAGAGGTAGGTTAGGCTGAGAGTGCGTGACTGGCCCAAGGTTACCCCGCCAGCTTCCATGGCAGAGTGAGGGTTCTGACTGGGGTTTCCCAGATCTTTGTCCAACACTTGCACCCACCACACCACTCCAGTCTTTAGTGCTGAAGTGACAGGGAAGCACCATCTAAAATCTTGTTCAGGGATGGCTGGCTAAGCACAGTTGTCAATACAGGCTGTTAAGGCAGAGACCTCTCTTGGAAACGGCACGTCTGCAATGGAGAAGAGCATGATTCAAGCCCAGGAACATCCTTAAAGACCATTAAGGTTTCCAGGACATAAGCTTTTGAGAGTCAAAGCCCCCTTCACCAGCTGCAATGGAGAAGACTGAGTGTTGGAGAGGGAATGGGCTGCCAGTGGGACAGCCTCGCATCTTGTGGTCACCCTTCTCTGTTTGCACAGAAAAATTCTTTGGTTTCTGGCCAGCTCAGGTCTGCTCTGTATGTGGACCACAACTGAGGTGGCAGACTGTTCTGCTTTCCCTAATGGAGGGAAAGCATGACATTTCAGTTTTCACACTTTGGCTCCATTAATAATTCCCTGTAACTGTACAACTAGCACAGCTTGTGAAGGGGAAAGCTACAACCTTGCTCCCTGACATGGAGTTGTGTGTTTTTTTGCAAAGCATTTTTTGACATGGGGGATCCTTACAAATGTGACTTTCTCCCCCTGGAGACCAGACCTCTTCCTGTCTAGCTCCAGAAAATGCTGCAAAGCCAAGTCTCCGCTGGAGTGCTACACCTCAAATGGAAATGTAATTGAGGCAGCCATTAAAACTGTCTCTATTTCCATGGGGAGGATATAAAAAGTACAAGGAAATACTTTGATGGCAACCTCAAGAGATTCATTCTGTATTTTGATCAGAATTGAGTTAAATTGCTAAATACTTACTGGCAGACCTGGCAAGTGACGTCAGACTGAAGTCCACCTGTGAAGATTTGGTCTATGATGCAGTTACAGTGGTTGGGGTTGTTGGCTTTCTTCCCATTATCGTCACCTGAAGAACAGGAAAATGAGCAGGACTGGGTTTCAAAGCCCTCCTAACGTACATGTGCAGGTGTGTGCAAAGGACCTCCTTTGTACACTGCAAAACACCATCAAGAACTAGGTCATTCTGTATCTTAGAGGTATGGCATGTATAAGAAAACCAGGGAGTAAGGAGGAAAAATGCACGCAGGAAGAAGAGCTGGTTTTTATAACCCTGCTTTTCTCTACCTGAAGGCATCTCAGAGTGGCTTACAACCTCCTTCCCTTCCTCTCCCCACAACAGACACCCTGCGAGGTAGGTGAGGTTGAGAGTGTTCCGAGAGAACTGTGACTGGCCCAAGGCCACCCAGCAGGCTTCATGTGGAGGAGAAGCGGGGGATCAAACCTGGTTCTCCAGATTAGAATCTGCCACTCTTAACCACTACACCACGCTGGAATACAAAAGACCAAATGAGATCTATTCTCTCTTGCTCTAGATTACAAGACTAGATCTAATGGGTAGAAATTACAAGGAAGTTGTTACCAGCTAAATATCAGGAGAAACTTCCTAACTGTAAGAGTGGTTGAGCAGTGGAACAGACTGGCTCGGGAGGGGGGGGATGCTCCTTCGCTGGACGTTTTCAAGCAGAGGCTGGACGACCATTTTTTTGGGTATGTTGTAGGGCTATCTTTCGGCTATGCTCCTGCAGAGTGCAGGGGGTTGGACTAGATGACCTGCAAGGTCCCTTCCAACTCTAACATTCTATGATTCTATGATAAAGTTGCTTTCAATGTTATCGCTTTAGCTGCACTGAAGTCAAAAGCATGAGAGTGGATTTATTTTATCTGAAATATTTGTACCTCACCTTTTCCTAAGAAGGGACCTGGGGAGGGATAAGATGTACGTAGACAGGATACAAAATAAAGTACCAAATACATCTTGTTGTAACACAACACAGGAAGTTGCGTGCCAAGGTAAAAGCAACAGGCGAGCCCAATGCCACATTCATCCACATGGACATATGGCAGCAACTAACAAAAGCCTTCTGTTTAGCAGAAGAGGCCACACCCTTAAATTCTGACATACTCCTTCCCAGAGTGTTGGGGCAACGACGGAGAAAGCCTGCAATTGGGCACAGGACAACCACACGATCCTGTGCAATGGTATGACAAGCGAGGATTGTTGGCAGAAACACAACGGTGGCCCCCTGATTCTTACCAAAAGCGTGAAGAATTTACAGTTCTAAAATCTACTCTGGCTGAGCCTGTGCTGTGTGTGGTGTGGGGCAGGGAGTTGTTTTCAAAACATTACTCAGGGGTTTGTGCTTGGGAGCAGACAGGGAGCCACGGGAGATGGACTAAGGGTAGAGTGATACGGTCCTACGACCCACTCCATTCAACATCCTGGCTGCAGTATCCTATACCAACTGAAGCCTCTGAACCCTTCTCAAGAGCAGCCCCACCTAGGGAGCCCTGCAGTAATCTAATCTAGATGTAACCAAGGCATGCACCACAGTGGCCAGATCTTTTCTGCCCAGGAAAGGACACCGTTGGCTAACTGGCAAAAGGCACTCCTGGCCAATTTTCCCGCTAATTCCCCCCCCCCCCCCCCCCAAAAAACCCTGTACACCCACTAATTTAGCTGCTGCAATCTTACAATGGGCAATGGGCAGTACAGGACCCTGTGCGGCTCCAGACTGCTGCTGAGCGGGGCTTCCTGTGTTAATAAGCGGCCACTCACACACCCGATGCTCCTGGCCTCAGCTGCCAACCGCTTATGCAGCAGTAGGCCTCGGCCCAAGAGCCCCCTCCCCCAAACTGTATCTGGTCTTAACAGAAGTCATGTTAACCCTGAATGATAGTGGTGAAAGTTAACCAGGGTCTCTAACCATGGCTTGAAACTGCTTAACAGCCCAAGTAAAACAGGGCAACTGGTTAGCCTTAATGGCAAATAATGTCTGCCACAATATATCTCCCACCCCCAAAACAGAAGAAGAAGGAGAGAGAAGAGGAGACTGGATTTATACCCTGCCCTTCAGTAGGAGTCTCAGAGCTGCTTACAATCTCCTTCCCTTCCTCTCCTTGCAACACAGACCCTGTGAAGTAGGTGGGGCTGAGAGAGCTCTGAGAGAATTGCTCTTGAGAACAGCTCTGAGAGAACTGTAACTGACCCAAGGTCACCCAGCTGGCTGCATGTGGAGGAGGAGTGGGGAATCAAACCCCGGTTCTCCCAGATTACAGTCCGCACTCCTAACCACTACACCAAACTGGTGAAGCAGGTGGGTAAGCTGTGTTGGTCTGAAGCAGCAGAACTAAGTTTGAGTCCAGTGGGCATCTTTAAGACCAACAAGGTTTTATTCTGGGTATAAGCTTTCGTGTGCATGTATATTTCTTCAGATCTGAAGACATCTGTGTGTACAGGAAAGCTCAAACTCAGAATAAAACTTCATTGGACTTAAAGGTGCCACTGCATTCAAGCTTCATTAAAAATCTCTATATGTGTATACAGTTGTAACTACTATACATTCAACCATCTTCTGACCATCAAATATATCCAGACATGTCCTACTAAAACAGTCTCCATGTCTTCTAAGAAACCCCAAATCCTAAATCAGAGGCTGCTAGTGGCACTGAACTTCTCCAGGACCTGCCTGCACTGTGGAACACTTTTTAAAATTTAAGATCTGCGAAAGACTGATATCAGGCCGCTTGCAGTGGGAGGAATTAAGCCCATGTGAAGAAGAGAGTTACCACTTCTAAATTTTTTTTCCCCATGTGTTTTATATATACTTAACTTTCCACCTACCATGGGGGTGGAGAGAGGCTAAATTCTAAGTCCAGCTTATAAGACTGTTTTTATTCATTTCACCTTCCTGGAAAAATGATATTCAATGGATCTAATCCATTCAAAATGAAGACGAGTAAGTTACATGTATGTTCTCAGGTTTGTGTTATTAAACCTCAAGCTAGAATTTATTAAACCTCAAGCTAGAATTTTCCTGTTTGATCAGCAAACAGTTGTTAAGGTTCACAGCTAAATTTTCTCTTTACCCCTAAAAAGACTTGTTATCACACTCTTATTTTAAGTGCTACTTTCAACAGTCAATTGGTTGTATGAACAGGTATCTTACTTTACTATCTAATTGTAATAGTAGTAGTAGATCCTTTTCAATGTTAAGCTTTATTCTCTAATTATGTACAATGTTTACACATCTTTGTACCAGTTTGTTGTCTCTTATTCTAATTGTATTGGAAATTGTTTTATGAACTGTCACTATCTCTTGTTTTTCCTTCATATTAATAAAAAACTGTTAATAAAAAAAGACTGTTTTTAAAAAGGCCATACTCAATTGCACGAGACAAGACCTTAGCCTGCCCTATTTCAAGTACTGACTGTTCAATAGAGCTGCCTGACTTTCCCTGGTGAACTATTTTGTTACAGAGCAAAAGGATTTAAAACTTGAGCCTGTGCAAGACGTGAGTTTGGTGAATTCTCAGTCGCACACAATGGGCTCTCTGTTTCCTTACAAGAAGCCAGGCAGACGCTAACAGTGCTGCTTTGGCTGTGGAGATGCAGAAACAGGGCCACAAGTATCACCGTACCCACTTTGATGTCCCTTCTTTCATAAAGATTATTTACCGCATCTTAAAAATCTACATTTATTCCCCCCCCTTTTTTTGTGTTCTGACATTGTGTCACATCCCTGATGGAGACTTGCAACGGGCAGCCCTTTCTGCCCATGGGAAGATAACATTACTCCCTTTTCAATTACCCAAGTCAATTAGGTGCAGTTGGGTGGGGGGAGGTGTCTCTCAAAAGACTGTTCTTCCATATGCTCATTTGCAGCAAGCACAAGAAGGCACTATCCTGCTCACTAGGGCTCTCCTGTGGCATCTGGGTTGGAAAGGAGGGGGAACGAAATGACCATCTCCTTGGACCTTGTCGACAGGCAAGGATGTCGTGGGAATACAATGGGTGTACTGTGCAGCTGAAAGAGAACTTCCAGTGGTTGTGTGTGATGCCGGTGTGTGTGTGTCTGTATGGGGGGGGGGGGGAGAAATATGCTGCTTTAGGAACATAAGAACATAAGAGACGCCAATGTTGGATCAGGCCAAAGGCCCATCCAGTCCAACACTCTGTGTCACACAGTGGCCAGAAATACCAGGTGCCATCAGGAGGTCCACCAGTGGGGCCAGGACATTAGAAGCCCTCCCACTGTTGACCCCCCCCCCAGCACCAAGAAGACAGAGCATCACTTGCCCCAGAGCCCCTATCTATACCTTGTGGCTAATAGCCACTGATGGACCTCTGCTCCATATGCTTATCTAATTCCCTTTTGAAGCCGTCCATGCTTGTAGCCGCCGCCACCTCCTGTGGCAGTGAATTCCATGTGTTAATCACTCTTTGGGTGAAGAAGTACTTCCTTTTATCCGTTCTAACCGACTGCTCAGCAATTTCATTGAGTGCCCACGAGTTCTTGTATTGTGAGAAAGGGAGAAAAGTACCTCTTTCTCTACCTGCTCTTTCCCATGCATAATCTTATAAACCTCAATCATATCTCCCCTCAGTTATCGTTTCTCCAAGCGAAAGAGCCCTAAGCGCTTTAACCTTTCCTCATAGGGAAAGTGTTCCAATCCTTTTATCATTCGAGTTGCCCTTTTCTGCACTTTTTCCAAAGCTATAATATCCTTTTTAAGGTGTGGTGACCAGAACTGCACACAGTATTCCAAATGAGGTCGCACCATTGATTTATATAGGGGCATTATGATATTGGCTGATCTGTTTACAATACCCTTCCTAATAATCCCCAGCATAGCATTGGCCTTCTTTATTGCAGTCACACACTGTCTCGACATTTTCAGTGAGTTATCTACTACAACTCCAAGATCTCTCTCTTGATCAGTCTCTGCCAGTTCAGACCCCATCAACGTGTATTTATATTTAGGATTTTTGGCTCCAATGTGCATCACCTTGCACTTGGCCACATTGAACCCCATTTGCCATGTTGACGCCCACTTGCCCATCCTTGACAGATCCCTTTGGAGTGCCTCACAATCCTCACTGGTTTTCACCACCCTGAACAACTTTGTATCATCCGCAAATTTAGCCACTTCATTGCTTACTCCCAACTCCAAATCATTAATGAACAAGTTAAAAAGCGGTGGACCAAGTACTGATCCCTGCGGTACCCCACTGCTTACCACCCTCCACTGAGAAAATTGCCCATTTATACTCAGTTTCTATTTTCTATTAATTAGCCAGTTTTTCATCCATAAAAGGACTTGTCCTTTTATCCCATGATTTTTGAGCTTACTTAGGAGCCTTTGATGAGGAACTTTATCAAAAGCTTTCCGGAAGTCAAGGTAAACAATATCTATTGGATCCCCCTTGTCCACATGTTTGTTCACCCCCTCAAAGAACACTAACAGGGTAGTGAGACAAGATATTCCCTTACAGAACCCATGCTGAGTCTGCCTCAGTAGGTTTTGTTCATCTATGTGCCTACTAATTCTTTCTTTCAGCCACTTTAAAAGCTTGCTGCTGTAGTTTAGGGAAGATGCAGTAGCAATTCCCCTTCATATGTGCTCTATAGCATTCCTTTCCACTTAGACAGAAAGACCGAATGGCTTCACCCATTCAAGGCTGAAGAGCCTTGAAAGCTCTAGATGCTCATGTTTCCAGGGTTACAATTGCTGGTTAGGACCAGCAGAGATTTGTGATACTGTATTTACCCAAAGTAAAAAAAGGAGGGGTTGTCTTAGATTTTGTAGTATGAATGGGAATATAAAGATTTTTATATATGTTTTTCCTTCTTCATATTTCTCTGGTTTTTATAGATTTGTTCTTTAAGTAATATTTTATTAGGATGTTAGAAAGGCCTGTTATATAGAAGGCTTTCCTCTTGTAGGTCTGATATTGCTAGCAGACAACATAATAGGTACAAAGTTCGTGATTCTGTAGTTCTTAGGGCAAAGCTTTCAATGTCTGGGTCAGATAAGATTTTAGTCTGCTATGAAGAATCTTTGCCCATTATCATTTAGGTTAGGTTAAGTAAACACTTAGTTTGACATAGAAATATGTTTCTTTATATCTGGCCAATCAGAGGATTATTACTCAAATTACCACTGTCTTTTGTAACCAATTATGCTGTTTGAATATTGTTTTCTTGATGATGTCAATCCATGTATAAAATATCATGTATTTCCTGAATATGTTCAGAATATGCTCAAGAAGAAGATGAAGAAGAAAAAGAAGAAAGTTGTCAATTTTTGGTTAACTACTTGGTCTAATTGTTTTCCTATTAATTGAGGCATGTTTCCTGATTATGCTGAGAAGAAAGCAGTCAGTTTTGATGGGTCCTTTGGCCTAACTGTTTTCCGTATTTCATTACAATAAAATACAAGAACTTCCTCCTCATTTGACTTCATTTTTGACATGGAATATAATATGTACAACAGTTTGCATACAAGTTAGAAGAATGGACAGTAATAATAATAATTTAAAAAATGCGTGTAACATTTTTGGGGACGGTGTCTTCCTTTCAGTTCAATAAGGTATTCATGCTTCTATCAAAAATGACTTTGGGGAGGAGGCTGCCCGATCAGCACAGCCATGCCATACTGACAGCTGTACGGAAAAGGCCCCCAGCCATCAATCATCTGACTAGGTATAAAGTGGCTTTAAATCACTTCACCTGGGAAACGGATAACTTTAATTAACACACTCTGAAAACAAACAGTGCAGCAGGAAAATACTTCAGATACAAAGAAGAGGAGAAAAAGGGATGGTATCACTCTGATTACTCAATTAATGGTCCCACTGATCTGTGGCTCAGGGCAAGAGCCTCTAGCAGAAGGTCCCCGGTTCAATCCCTGGCACCTCCAGGCAAGAAGTGATGTGAAAGACCTCAGCATGAGACCTGGGAGAGCCGCTGCCAGTCTGAGTAAACAACAGTGATCTCGAGGGATCGAAGGTCTGATTCAGTATCAGGCAGCAGCATGTGACCTGTAGCATGTGACAATGATTCATCCCCTTTGAAAAGCGTTCCTGGAGGTGTCAAAGAAAAAGCCTCACCTTTGCAGTGCCGATGTAGCACATCTAATGCAGCAATGAGGAACTCGTGCGCATCCTGTTGCTCGTACCCTGCTAAATGCCGTGCGTGCGTCCATACCAGGTGCAGTAACCTATATGGAATGTGAGGAGATCGGTGCCCAGAGTAGAACTGCTCAGGAAGGGGTTAGGGAA